CAGTGCCTCAATTCTCATTTAAAAAGCCATCCATCTCATCCTCACTGTGTTTAGTCTTGGAGTGAACACCTTGAAAGGCCAACCCAGGGTTGGTTAGGTAAATTGAGCTTGGCCAAATAATCTCTCTCCTTTTGGAATTTGAATTTGGGGCCAAAGTAATACCAGAACCAAAATCAGAGTTGGTCTGTTGGTTCAGGTTTTCTGTCAATTCCCTGACGTACGTCATATCCTTTCCAATGAATCCCTTTCTAACTTAAGTTAACCAGAGATGGCTTCTGTTGCATATAACCAAATAACACTAACTAGTAGAAGAACCACCAATGTGGTAGAAACCCACATCTAAGAGGAGATATCTCCTCTGCAGCATGTCTGGCAATTGATTTTTGCTCTGCTGGGACAGGGAGCTAATACCATTATATATTAAATAGCAACCAAGTGGTCAGTAGGGGCTGTTTTTCCCTGGTTTGCACAAATGGTCCTCAGCCCTAATTCTGTCCTTTGGAGCTACACACACACACACACACACACACACACACACACACACACACACACAAAATAGACAGGAGCTCTTTAGATATTTGATGACAGCACAAACTCTAAGCTAGACAGCCCAACCCTCAAAGTGTCTCCAGCTCCTTCCTAAGCCAACCTTTTGGCACTTGGTATCACACACCCTTGTCACTGAGCACTTCTGTTGTGAGTGCAGAAGCTGTAGACTGCAGTGTTATGTAAGTAGAATGTAATTTCAGCAGGATCATACATTTTCAGATTTAGAGATAGATAATAGATAAATGAGGAAATAGGGGAGGGAGGAAGGGGCAGAGAAAGAGGAAGTGGCACTGGGGAGAGAGAGAGACAGACAGACAGAGACAGAGAGAGGTAGAGACAGATAGAGAGATACACTATACTACAGACTGAATTACCCCTGACATTATTTATCACTGAGAGATGCAGATGGATCTTTTGGTCCAAATGATGGTGATGCCAAGAGAGAGGTTCACCCCTAATCATTGCTTTCTCTCCTGGAAGGTGCTAGATAGGCCTGGAACATCATTATCACAAGTTAACTGTGGGTGTCCTCACTTGTAAGACTGAACAGCCCAGGCTTTAGGAAGAGTGCAGGCGACTGTTATGTTGCTTTATCTAAGCCAAGGAGACTGGACGATGCTGTGTAGGAGGAGTGAAGACAGAGATGGCCTTACTGACATTCATGCAGAGGCAGGAAGGGGGCGAGACCTTGGCCTGGCAGAGCTAGGACTTCTCTTCCTTCTCTGGGGCCAAAAGTGAATTGAAGTCGAGAGTTAAAGAGGCCAGAATCTTATCAGAACCTAAAGGTTCTCATTTCAGAAACTAAGCTGGCTCCCAGCTGATGGGTGACCTCAAGAGTAACCACATCCGGAAGCAGCTATAAGTAACTCTCTCTCTGCAGTTTGGTCTCTCTCACTCAAGTTTGGTCTTTACTGAACTAAGTGAGAAGTCTGAGCCTGCACTAGAGGTGAAGTGGCACCAAAAACAAACAAAAACTGGAGAAGCCAGGTCTGGAATATCCCAAAGTGATCTTCAGAGCTCTGCAGGCAACAGAGCTGGAATAAGACACTAAAATGTGTTCAGGAAATGTGGTCTTTGGTTGTTACAGTGTATATATTTTAAATTTTTTTGATATATCATACCAGACCTAGTGGTTTTTGTCTCCTTATTATAATTCAATTAGCAATATATAATGACTATATTCCCAGGCCAATAACATTTTAATCACTGTGATGTTTTATTAAAGTATAATTTACATACGGTAATGTGCAGATGTTAAGCATACAGTTTGATGAATTTTGAAAAATGTGTACACCTGTATAGACACCATTTCAATCAAGATCTAGAACATTTCTATCCCCCCCCCCGACACTGTGACACTATACAGCACTCCATCATATGGATGTAATATATTTTACTTACATAAACCCTAATTGGTGGTCACTTGTGTCATTTTCAAATTTTTTTTATTTAAAAATATTAAGGGGGTACAAATGTTTTTGGTTACATGAATCACTTTTGTAATGCTTGAGTCGTGGCTATAGGTGTGCCCATCACCCAAATATTGTTCATTGTACCCATTAAGTAAGTTTTTGCCCCTTCCCTCCTCCCTTTCCCTATGCTTGATTTCCACTGAATTTTACTTCCCTCTGTGCACATGTGTGCTCATCAGTTAGTTCCAAATTAATAATGACTACATGTGGTGTTCATTTTTTCAATCTTGAGATACTTCACTTAGGAGAGTGGTCTCCTGCTCAGAGGAGCAGGAAACTACAGTCAAGCAATAGAGCCAAGTTGACCCCTGAAAAATACCCTGGGCTTATCCCCAGCCACATTCCCAATCTCCTATTAGTCCCCCTCCCACCTGAGCTCAACCTGAAGCCAGAGGGTAAGGAAGCAGTCCTTACAGGTCAGTCTCCCAGAGAGAAAGCAGAGAAGATTAGAAGGGAAAACAAGGCAGCCAGCATAGCAGATGAGGGGCAGTGTGGTAGACTGCAAAGTGGCCATAAATTCCACCCATCCCTGGATGCTTCTCTGCGGTGTGACTTTGCCACTCTTCCCATCCATAGGTTGAAGTCTAGTTCTCCACCCCACATCCGGTCTTGGCCATACCAGTGGGACACAAACACAGGCTTTAAAAACATCTATGTTCTCTTGTGGTGCCTAGAACCCTGAGACAAAGCTAGCCTACTGGGGGAAAGAAGCCATGGGGAGTAGAAATGAAAAGCCCAGATCAGCAACCTGCCGGCCATCATCATATTAGGGGGACTGTCTGAGGTCACCCAGTACCAGCTAAGTCCCTAGCTGCCCAAGACACATGAGAGAACCCAGCAGAGATCAGCTGAATAAACCCAGATCAGAAGAACCACCCAAGTAACCCACAGAATCATGAGAAATAATAAATAATTGTTGATTTAAGCCCCTAAATTTTGGCATAGTTTGTTGCACAGCAAAAAATAACTGCTACAACAGAAAATGAAAAAGCATCTTGCAAGTATTTAAGCTTCAGTTCCAATCTTTGAGGCTCTTACCCCCTGAAGCTCTTATTCTATTTCTAATATCCTTCCCATAAGCCAATCGACTCTCTTTTTCTATTGCCAATTTGAGTCAGATTTCTCACTTTCAGTTAAAAAAAAAAACTGCAAAGCTTTACTTTTTCTATGTAATCTGGTATAGTTTCAAATAAACAGAAACCCTTCATTCCTCTAAATTTTAAAATAATTTACCCATGAAGCTTACTAGTCTGGAGCTTTGGGAGAAGAAAAGGTTCTGGACAATGTTTTCATTTCTTTCTTGGTTATTTGCCTATTCTGACTTTCAATTTCTTCTTGAGACAAAACTGGCAATGTGTTTATTTATGTATTTAATAGAGATGGGGTCTTGCTATGTTGCCCAGGCTGGATTCGAACTCCTGGGCTCAAATGATTCTACCACCTCAGTCTCCCAAGTAGTAGTAAAATTGGCAATTTCAAGTTTATGAGAAAATTATTCATTTTAGCCTGATTTTCAAACATATTAGAATTTATTTATATACATTTTAATGTATAAATACAACATATTTTAATGCTTTTTTCCCTTTTAAAAAATCTTCACATTTAACAAAGTTTATCATCTTTAATATATTTCTTCATAAAGTGAGACTTGATCAAAAGGATTGCTCTCAACATTAGTGCCTACCACTTTTAACAGAACTGAGTTAGTGATGGAATTAGCAGGGCCCAGGAAATAACAATGGATTTTATTCAGTACCTTGACCACAAATGATAAGAAATCATTTCTGAAACCATAAAATGTTAATGAAAATATCCTTAGACAAACCAGCCAAAGAGTCCTTTTGTACTGCCTGGCACAGAGCCCCTGTTCAATAAAGTTAGCTATTATTATTAGCTTTGTTCCTTTACACCTGCACCCCTTCTTGAGCAAGAGAGGCTCCTCTAGATATTCATAATAATTTGAAAACCATGTATTGAGTGCCTTCTTTGTGCCAGACACTACTCTAGGTGTGGTTCAAGCAGTTTCTTACTGAATACTCACAAAATCCCTATGATTTAGGTATTGTGTTCCCCATTTTAAAGACAGAAACTAAGGGTCACAGAACTCAAATTATTTCCCCAAGGTCACTGGAGCAATAAATGGCAGAGGTGGAATTTGACACCAAGTCTTTCTGCCTCCAAAGTCCAAGTTCTTTTCTCAGCATTGCATCACAGAATTTGAGGTTTTGTGTGAAGTAATGGAAATAGAAACAGTAATTACTTCACAAGGGCATGCTCTGGGTGGAGAAATGGAGAGAATTATCAGAACGCTCTTGATTAGGGCGATGGGTGGAATAATGGAAGCGCCCTTAGCTACATGTCTCAAGGGCTTACTATACACTGTGCCAAGCACTTTCATGCAAAGGCTTTGTAATCCTTTTGCTGCTACTCCATTTGTCTTTTGTTTGATTGTTAACTCTTTTTCATTTAAAATATGTTTTGAGTTATTTTTTAAGCCTATGTGGTTGGTACTAATAATAACCTGTTCCATAGATAAGAAAACTAAGGCATAGAAAAGTCAAATGACATGCCCAGGTTTTCCTAATGAGTTTCTGGGCAGAATCAGGGCCCAAATTCAGATATGTCTGATTTGATAGTCAACATTCTTAACTGCCATTGACATAATCAATAAACCGCCACAACTACCCATTTGCACCTAGAGGTGGCTAAGCCTGCTGGGGACCTGAGACAGGGAACAATGAGGTGCATTCTTTTGATGAGGCCATCTATGATTCTCTGAACTGTACTAAGACCTGCAGCTCCTGATGAAGTCCAGGGGTTCTGTTCTGCCATAGCCCCTTTGGTTAACAAGATCTGCAGTAGATTAACCATAGTCTTCTCCTCCAATGAGGCAGTGGAATCTATTTCTCTGCCACCTGAATCTAGGCTTGGCCATGGGATTAGCTCTGTCCAGTGGGACTCAGCAAGAATGATGCCCAAGCTTATGCATCATGTTTGCTAGTGATGCGATGATGCATACATCTCTTATGCCAGAGAGTATTATGATGCCCCCTTGCTCTTTCTGGAGCCCTGAAACCACCATGTGAACAAGTCAGAGCTAGCCAGCTAGATGGAGGATGAGGCCACATGGAAGAGAACCAAAGCTCCCAGGCCAACAACCTGCTCACTGCTAGTCATGTAAGTAGGACCATCCTAGATCATCCAGCCACCAGCCAGCCAACCAGATACCCACAGACATAAACAGTAACCTCTTAAACTCTGTGCCCAGGGCAAGTACCTCACTTGACTCACTCTAGTCCCAGCCCTTAGAGATAACTTCTCTCTTTCTTGTGCTATGATCTCTCAGGAGGTTGCGTATGTGATCAGTATTCTGAGTCCAGAGTAACCTATAATGTCCATATGTCATGCGTATGGCAGTGCCAGACACTGGTCTCTCTAAGAAGATCCAAGAGACAGAGGAATTGAGGGGTTCCAACCCAGTGAGACCTAGAACCAGGAGGACCCCTATAGATGATGACCAGAAGTATCATTCATGAGCTCTGCCACATTTTAAGGTCCTCCAGTGGTGAGTGCCCATAGATATTGTTTATTCTCATTGGCACCGAATGGCTGGGTCAGTAGCTACATTCACTGGGATAGCGCCTGGTTCATAAATTTCCCTCAATATGCCGTGATGTGGACCTATCTGTAGAATGATGCCAAATGCACAAAGCTCTACTAATCTCAAGAATATGCCCTGGCTCAGACTGGGCTTGGAATAACAGAAAGCAGAGGACGGAGCCCATCACATTACATTCCTTTCTCATGGATGGACATTGTGCATTTCTGCTCCATGAGTTTGCTGTACACCAGTTCCTTCAAGGTCACCCCTCCATAACTTCATGAGTATCAGGGGCAGCTAAAATAGAGCCTGGACAGGTGGGCAAGCAGGTGTGGCCAGGTCTTTAATCATGCCTCTAACCACAGGCAGAAAAAAGGTCAATGGACTAAGTCACGCCAGTTCAGGAGTCTGGACCAATTCATCATCCTTGGTGCCAACCGACCTTCTTGGAACTATATCCAGAGATAGAATCATTTCAGGTAGGCTGCCAAATCCTATGCATGCTGGCTGCAGGGAGTGCTTCCTGCTCTCCCCATGCCCAAGACAATGACTGGCTGCACTCCTTCATTCATACAGACAGGGGTCTCATACCACTTATGGAGCCTACACACTTCCAGTAAGGACTACCAGGTGGCAGGCAGAGAACCTGTCCATTCTTCAGACTTCTCTGGTCTGTCTGACAAGACATCTGTCCTTGCTGCCTTCCCACTGTTATTCATTATCACTGTCATCATCATCGTCACATATTAATATATAGCCCTTGCTATACACCAGACACTGTCCTAAGTGTTGTTATGGATATTTATGTATTTGATACTCAAAACAATGCTATGGGATATGGACTATTATTTTACCCATCTTTCAGCTGAGACTCTAAGGCACAAATAGATTTAAGTAATTTGCCGAAGGTGAAATAGATTTGAGCCTAGGCAGCCTGGCTCTATCATCTGATTTTACCCAGTACACAATACTGCTTCTCTAGTTTTTCTTCAGAGGAATCCCCTCTTCCTCACTCTCAAAGCACAGGGTGAGCATACAGACTCACATCTCCAGGAGTAGGCACAAGCATTAGTCAGGGTTCTCCAGAGAAACAGAACCAATAGGAGAGAGAGAGAGACAGACAGACAGACAACATAACGTGACTGTGAATTGTATTCACACAATAATGGAGACTGAAAAGTCCGACAATCTGCCGTCTGCAAACTAGACAACCAAGAAAGCCCATGGCATAATTCAGTCCAAAGTCTGAGTCCAAAGGCCTGAGAATCAGAGGTGCCAATGGTGTAAGTCCTGGTCTGAGTCTGAAGGCCTGGGAACTGGGAAAAGATGAATGTCCCAGCTGAAACAGAGAGACCAAATTCACCCTTCCTCTGTCTTTTTGTTCTATTCAGGCCCTCAACAGATTAGATGATGCCCACTATATTGGTGAAGACAATTTTCCCCTCTGTCTATAGATTCAAACGCTAATTTCTTCTGGAAACACCCTCACAGACACATGCAGAAATACCAGCTATCGGGGCATTCCTTAGCTCAATCAAGTTGACACACAAAATTAACCGTCATGAGTCCACCCTTCCTCAACTTGGCACCCATACACATCCCCTTAAACCATATTTAATATCTAAATAAAGAATAACAAAGTCATAACTCCACCTGACATTATAGAACTAGATTCTGTACAATTGAAAATGCAATAATCTCTTCTCCAGGAAGGGAGTATAGTCCTCAAGTGATGATAGCTCTTCTATTGAGATCCTGTAACTTAAATACTAAGATGTGAAACTAATGATATGTACACACTGATATAAAGTCAAAACATATGTTACATGATAAAGAACTAAAAGGGGAAAGAAAACAAATATATTGCATAATATATGCATATATACAACACAAACACATTCATAACAAAATAAGGAGGAAATACTCATGACAGAGACAGCCCTTGTTTCTGTAACTGGCCACATGGTTGTACCTGATACTTATAACTACCTTCTACTACCCCTTGGGTATCCCTGTTGCCTTCAGCAAGTGCCTCAGGTGTGTATAGTGGTTCTTCACCTGGCAGAGTGACCCAAACCTCTGTTTGTTCCTAAAGGGTATAGGCCATTAATAGTCTTGTCCGGATTGGGTTGCTGTAGTTTTTCATTGACCTTAATCATGGCTCATGGTAATACTAAGAGATGCCTTAAGGGATCTCCTGCATTCCAGACACATTTTCCATTTTCTCCATTGTGGAGCAGTAGTCCAATTTCCCCTCAGTAGTTCGGATCAATCATCCCAGTCAACTCTGTGACTCCCTTCTTGGTCTGCTTGCTCAGAGACGGGAAGAGCCCAAAGTGGCCTGGTGGCAGTCTTAACTTCAAGTTCAATAGCATCATCGTCGTATCTCCTGGTGGAAGCATTCCTCCCTCTGGAACTAAGACCTCTATGCTGGCAGAGCATAAAGTCATGTGAAAAGAAAGCAAAAATTTTTCTAGTGGGTCACTAGGGGAAATAATGAGTGGTGTCACTCCCATTTACACCTCTTGATTTCTGGACTCATGAATCCTGGCTACCAGAGAAACAGCACCATGTACACTGATTAGGAGGATATACGGCCTTCTGGAGAACCCTGCCCCATCCCTGCGAGGTACTGCCACCAGCTGGCACTGTAACTGAATCTTCAAAAGGCCATTCCATTGTTCCATCAAGCCAGCTGCTTCAGGACGATGAGGAACATGGTAAGACCAGTGAACTCCATGAGCATGAGCCCACTGCCCCACTTCTTTTGCTGTGAAGTGAGTTATTTGATCAGAAGCAATGTTAAGTGGAATTCCATGACAATGGATAAGGCATGCTATAAGTTCATAGATGATGATTTTTGTAGAAGCATTGTGTGCAGGGAAGGCAAATCTGTATCCAGAATGTTCATTTCAGTAAGAACAAAACACTGCCTCTTGCATCATGGAAGCAGTCCAATGTAATCAACCTGCCACCAGGTAGCTGGCTGATCACCCCAAGAAATGGTGCCATATCAGGAACTCGGTGTTGGTCCCTGCTGCTAGCAGATTGGGCACTCAGCAGTGGCCGTAGCCAGGTCGACCTTGGTGCATGGAAGTCCATGTTGCTGAGCCCATGCACAGCCTCCATCCCTGCCACCACTGCCACTTTGTTCATGAGTCCATTGGGTGATGACAAGGTGGCTGGGAAAAGAGGCTGACAGATATCCGTGGAATGGGTCCTCCTATCCACCTGATTATTAAAGTCCTCCTCTGCTGAGGTCCCCCCTTGGTGAGCATTCAGATGCAACACAAATATCTTCATGTCTTTTGCCCATTCAGAGAGGTCTATCAACAAACCTCACCCCCAAATTTCTTTGTCACCAACTTTCCAGTCGTGTTCCCTCCAAGTCCCTGCCCATCCAGCCAAACCATTGGCTCTAGCCATGAATTGAACTGATCAAAGAACTCACGTCACTCACTAACGTCACTTCTGTCACTGACACAAACACCACTGGAGCTACTGGAGCACATGGCCAAGTGGCAGCCCTGCTTGCACGGCAGCCCGGACCTGTTGCAGAGCCTGCTCCTATTCTGGGCCCCACTCAAAACCAGCAGCTTTTTGGATCACTTTGCAAACGGGCTGGATAACACACCCAACATGAGGAATATGTTGCCTCCAAAATCCCAATAGGCCCATTAGGCAACATGTCTCTTTCATAGTTGTAGGAAAAGCCAGATGCAGCAACTTATCCTTCACCATAGAAGGGATAGCTCGACATGCCACACACCAATCACTCCTAGAAATTTCACTGAGGTAGAAGGCCTCTGAAGTTTAGTCTGATTTATCTCCCATGCTCTGACACACAAATGTCTTACCAATAAGTGTAGAGTAATTGCTACTTCACGCTCACTAGGACCAATCAGCATAATGTCATCAACCCAATGGGCCAGCGTGGTATCTTGTGGAAGAAAAACATGATCAAGATCCCTTTGAACTAAATTATGGCATAGGGCTGGGGAGCTGACATACCCCTGAGGTAGGACAGTGAAGGTGTATTGTTGGCCTTGCCAGATGAAAACAAACTGCTTCTGGTGGGTCTTATATGGACAGAGGTGGAGAAAAAGGCATTTAATACAATAGTAGCTACATACCAGGTACCAGGGGATGTATTAATTTGCTCTAGCAATAAAACCACAACTAGTACAGCAGCTGCAATTGGAGTCACCTCTTCTTTAAGCTTATGACAATCCAAAGTCATTCTCCAAGATCCATTTGTCTTCCACAGAAGTCAAATAGCAGGGTCGAATGGGGTTGTGGTAGAAATCACCACCCCCGAATCTTTGACATCATTCGTGTTGGCACTAACCTCTGCCATCACTCTGGGGATGGGGCATTGGTTTTAATTTACAATTTTCCTAGGTTGAGGCAGTTCTAATGACTTCCACTTAGCTTTTCCCATCATAACAGCCTCACTCCAGAGGTCAGGGAACCAGTGTAGGGATTCTTCCAGCTGCTAAGGATGTCTATTCCAATTATCCATTCTGGAACTAGGGAAATAACAGCAGGATGGGGATGGGGACCCCCTGTGAGAGAGACCTGAGCTAAAACTCCCTTGACCACCTGACCTCCATAAGCACATATTCTGACTAGAAGGTCACTGCAATGTTCTGGGTCTCCTAGAATCACTGCCAGTTCAGAGCCAGTGCCCAGTAATCCCCAAAAGGTTTGATTATTTCCTTTTTTTCAGTGCACAATTATCCTGCACTGAAAAAAAGGGAAATGTAGTAGTAGTAGGTCCCTCTAGGGAAGGCTGGGAGAAAGAATAATAGTACATATTTTGAGTAGTACAATCAGTTTCTTGAGGAGACTTGGCCTCCCTTTCATTCAAGGAAATCTGGGTCTATAAACTGGCTCAAGTCTGAGTATGGATGAGGGGCTGTGACTCTGTTTTTATGATTCAAGTTAGACTTTTGTTCACTTGATCTAGAACTTTCTGCTTATACATATCAAGTAAGAATTCAATAGGTTCCCACCTATTTGCCTTCTAGGAACACCATGATTAGCCAACACCATAGGTCTGCACGAGTCAGGCTGTTCTGATTATTGTTTCAACTCAGCTGTCTGTTATCATAACCACGCCCACCGAACTCTGATGGTTGAGTGCCACCAATGGGCTCCTTTTACCCTGGAATCCAATTATTCCCATTTCACCTAAGTTTTCCAATTAAGTGGCTATGGTTCCCATGTAAGGTACAGCCACAGAGAAGGGAGATCACAGTGCTCTCCCAGGATGCTGGGGCTCCCCTTGCAAATTTATTTCTCAAAGTATTGGCGAAAGAAAGAAAGAAAGAAAGAAAGAAAGAAAGAAAGAAAGAAAGAAAGAAAGAAAGAAAGGAAGGAAGGAAGGAAGGAAGGAAGGAAGGAAGGAAGGGTCTTCTGACCCCTCCCAGCATGAGTGAGTGCATCTTAAATGACAAATGCACTCTAATCCACATTCTAATCTCCCTAAGTCTTTGAATCCCTTCCTCTACATTAAACCAGGGCAGACCAGGCATTGCTAATTTGCTCATGGCGGACCATCTTTTGATTGATGTTTCAGCCAACCAACCAAACTGTCAGAGCCTTTCTAACTCCCTAAGCTGAAACATTAAATTCAGAATCACTGTTTAGTGAACGTCTATCAATAAATTCAGCCTGACTCAACTTTATGTTCCTTCCACCATTATTCCACCCCCTTAATATCCATTCCTACCCATGTTCCCTAGATGGCTGCTTGTATAACTTAGAAAACTCAAGCAGTTCTTTTGGAGTGCAGTGTACCTTCTCATGGATCACACTTTGTACTGCACCTTTAGGGGCCTGCTGGGACTTGAGTCTAGCAACAGGTACAGAAGCAAAAAGGGGTGGTGGAGGTGGGTCCAGAGTCAGCATTGTCTTGCCTGGCACCTGCCTCAGGGGAGACTGTTACTGTTTCCTCCGGCAATGCAACCCCAGTGGAACAGCCTATACCACTATGTTTGGGGAGGACACTTTTGCTGGAGGTGGGGAGGCCAGTTCCACCAGCAAGGAGGACTCATCAGAATTTAGGGGTTCAATGTCCCCAGCTTCAGGGTCTTCATCAGAGTCTTCCCAACTTACAGGATCCCATTCTTTCCCCATCAGTATCCTTGCCTTAACAGGAGACGCCCTGTGAGGCTGGGAGTTCAATGTGCACTGTAACTCAGCCAATTGTAGGATGAGACTGTGCATTTGATTTTCAGAAATTTTCAGCCCTGCAGCTACAGGCTAAATGGCTTTCCTTCAGGGCACACCTAGAAGTTCTTAGATCATTTATGCAGTGCTTGCGGTGGGAATTCAAATCCCTGAGCTCATCCTTTTCTTCCACCACTTTGTCCAGAGATGTTAAGAGCAAGCAGAAAATGTCATTATACTCCTTAGTTTTCCAAAAATGTTTCAGTATCATATACAGAGCCACGGAGCTCCCTATTTTTTATAACGTGGTTGAGTAGGAGTATCCAATGCGGATTTTTTTGTATATCTCTATAAACAGTTCATGCCATGGACTACCAGTGCTCTCTTTACTACTAGAGATAGGGTCATTAGCATTTTAAATCTAGTCAATTAGAGAGCCAATTCCAGAATCCCCAGAACCAACTCAGAAAACTCATCCTTAAAATTATTTTCTTCTAGAACCACTCTTCATACCAAAATTTTCTGTCTTAGTCCATTTGGGCTGCTATAGCAAAATACCAAAACTTTGGTGGCTTTTAAATAACAAATTTATTTTTCACAGTTATGGAAGCTGGGAAGTCCAAGTTCAAGGCGTTGGCAAGATTCAGTGTCTGGTGAGAGCCCAATTCCTCACAGACAGTGGTCTTCTTGCTGTAACCTCACATGGTGGAATGGGTGAAGGCTCTCTCTGGAGTCTTTTTTATAACAGCACTCATTTCCATTCATGAGCGGTCTACTGCCATGACCTGACCACTTCCCAAAGATTCTACCTCCTAATACCACCATCTTGGAGGTTGGGATTTCACTTAATATTTTCCTTAAATCAATTTGTCTTTTGTTTAACCTAAATATCTTTACTTCAATAGGAAATTCTATATCTCTACCATAAAAGCAAAACTGCTATTAGGTATGTTTTCCAATCCATCTTCAAATAAATTCATAATGATTAATACAAAACTCATTTGCCTATTTTATCCACAAGTATCTCTTGTCTCCCCAGCAGTAGTCATACTTTGGGATTGCATAGTAATGGGATAAACTCATTTCCTCCTAATTCTTGGGCCCTGATATTAAGAACTCCCTAACAAAGAGCTGTACAGTGCATGGTAAAGTGCCACCAAAACGACCTTTTTACAGTTGCTCTGGCAGGTAAGCTCCTGCCTATCACTCCCCACATCCCAACTGTCAAGGTGAAGATATTTAGCAAAATCCTAGTAGGGGAACTAGCTGGTTTCCTAGACAGCCACATCCCCTTTCAAAATGTTTTATTTTGTTTTTTCCACTAAAAGGAAAACTGTCTCTACAGGGTTCACCACATGCATTAGAATGAAAACACCCCCACTCGTCTGTCTAAGCATGCTCACTCACATTTACCCGGAAGGCTGCACTGACTGACAACAGAGAAAAGTGGCCAATGCCCATTACTTACATCAGAGGCTGGGCCCTTGTCAGCGCCAGGGCAGGAGAATGTGACAAATTCATGGCACCGCTTGTGCACAACAAAGCAGCAAACTGCAAAAGAGAAAATAAAGGTGGGAGGAAGGGAAGAAGGAAAGTGGAGAAGAGGAAGAGAGAGAAAGGGAGGAAGAGATCATTAAACCTGGGCTTCACCAACAAGGAAAAGCTTTATACCAAAGTAAACAATAACTTCAGCTTTTGCATCTTGTCCTTTGTTGAAGTCAAACTCTTGGGCACACAGATGTTGCATCTCACACAGGAGTTCAACTTCTAAAGTTAGCTAGGGTTCAAAAGATCCCATATACTCAAAATTACACTCTCTTGAAGATTCCTTAAAGTGCCTGGTCTTCTATTGATTTTGGAACAGAATGCTGTTTCTTAGATCACACGCCAGATGAAGTGGTTGGCTTGTGTTTGAGTCCATAATGCATAAGAAATACATTATCTTTAAACTCTAGAATCACACTTCGAGAGATGTGCATACTATGAAGGGCATGGAGAAACAGTGAGCAGAGATGGACGATTTGTGCCTCCGTCTCATCAGAAGCAATGTCAATCAAGTTGAAGAATGCAAGAAATGGGCTTCCATGTTTACATTGTTACCTTAGTAGTTTGCAACCAAATACATACATACATATATTTGAATTTGTGTGAGTTAAATGCATCTATGATATGGCTCCACTATTTGGGAAATTATATCAGTTGGTAGCGGAACAGTCAAGGATTAAATACAAAATAAAACTGTTTTTTTTTTTGGTTCAAATCTTCTTTTACAGTTTTGTTGTTCAAATCTTCATCTATAACCTCTACACTGTGGGTTTCTGGAGGATGGGTGCCATGCTTTAGGGTCCAGCTCAGAACCTTTCTAAAGTGGATGCGCATTAAATGAAAACAGAACAGGAAAAGGCAAGGCTACCCCTAGTGATAGAATGGGTCTAGGTTACAATCATCAGTAGCTGCTAATATCACAAAAAGATACCACCTGCCCCGATGAAGGCTCATACCCCACCTATGAAGTACTCTAGCCAAATAATCCAATCTGTTCAAGTCTCTTGATACAACTACACATTTACAGAAAATGCAAGTAATAAGGAACATATTTAATGATATCACAGGAAGACAATCAGCAAAAAACACACCATGCCTCCCAAAATACCCAAAATGTTGAAAGCTACAAAGCAACCAATATGGTTTCTTCAACAAATAAACTGCAAGGGAGGAAAAAGGGGAAAGAAAATAAAAGGATAAACTTATATTTTCAAAGGGATTTAAGAAACATATCAACTAAATGCAACATGTAGACCTTATTTGGATCCCAATTTGAATAAATCAATAGTTTAAAAAATTGTGAGACAATCAGGAAAATGAATATACTCACTTTTTTTAAATTTTTTTTTATTTCTGCATATTATGGGGGTACAGATTTTAAGGTTTCAATAAATACCTATTTCCCCCCTCCCCCCACAAGTCTGAGTCTCCACCATGACCTTCCCCCAGATGGTGCACATCTCACTCATTATGTATGTATATACCCGCCCCCTCCCCCCTCCCACCTGCCCAATACCCTATTACTGTAGTACCTATGTGACCACTTAGGTGCTGTTCAGTTAATACCAATTTGCTGGTGATATACTCACTTTTTGATGCTATTAGGAAATTACTGCTATTGATAGTAGGGAATTAAATTTTTTTGATGTGATAATGGTATTGTGGTTATTTTTTGTTATAGAACCTTCATCTTGGAGGATACATCCTAAAATCTCTATGGATAAAATAATTCAATGTGCCAAGGAAGGGAGCAAAAGGGGAGGGTTATAGATGGAAAAATTGGTTGTAATGGGTCATTTTGAACCTGGGTGATGGACACATGAGATTTCTTACACTAATCTGTCTACTTTTATTAATTGACTGATTGACAGGGTAAGAAGGAGAGCTATAAAATTGAAATGTGCTGAGTCTTACATCCCTTGAGATTATAGATATTGAGAAACTGCATACAGGACATTGTAAGCTTAAATATGTGTATTAACAATTAAGATTAAAAATAAGAACAGAAATACCACATATAACTTTCAAACCACTAAAAGGAAAAATTGGACCAAAAAAAATTAATCCAACTATACCCTAAAAAGCCTTTTCATGCCCCAAGGTCATATAAATATTATTCTATATGTTTATTTGTACTTCTATGTGGCATCATTTCTGCTTTAAACTCTTTAATCCATCTATAATTCCTTGGAATCTGATGAGAAATGAGACTCTAATTCCTGTTTTCCAAATAGGTAACCAATTGTCCCAGCATCCCTTATTGAATAATTCATCCCTTCCCCACTGATTTCAAATGCCAGCCTTATTATATGTTCAATAATTATAGACACTGGGGTCTGTCTTCAGGCCTTCTATTCTGTTCCATTGATCTGTCTCATAGCACAGCAATATGGGTTTTAATTATAGTCGCTTTATAATATGTTATATCTTGGCAGGGCAAGTCCTCCCTCATTATTCTTATTTTCAACATTTTCTTGGCTATCACTGCATGTTTATTCTTCCAAGCAAACTTCAGAATCAGTTTACAAGATTTTAAAAATACCAATGGAATCTTTATTGAAATTATACTCAGTCAATCCCCACCCTCCAAAAAATGACTGGGACTTTGACTGAAATTTTCTTTACATTCAGAAATCAAATTCAAGATAATTGACACTTTCACAGCAGTGGGTCTTTCCACCAGGCATTGACTGTCCCCTTGGTTGAAGTCTTATTTTCTCCATATAAGTCCTACAGATTTTGCATTTAGTATCGTCTGAGGGATTCTTTTTAAATGCTATTGTAAATTTGAAATTTTTTTTTCCATTTTGTTTTCCAACTGGTCATTGTTTAAAGATAGGAAAGCAATAGATTTTCAGCATATTTATTTTGTAAGCATTTTCAACTCATAATAGTGTGTGTGGGCTTTCAGTTGCTTCCTTTGAGCTTTCCAGATAGAGAATCACACTATCCCAAATAATAAATATCTCTATTTTCTCCTTGCTGACATATAGGCCTCTCTTTTCCCCCTTGTCGTATTTACACATCTGGAACTTTCAGAGCCACATGAAATAAAAGGGATGACAAACACCGTCCCATTCCTGAGCACTCCCCAGCTTAACCTCTCCCCAACTGTCTTCATTCCAACCACACAGAAAAGTTTTCCACCTCTTCTCAAACTCACTTTTGGGATTTATATTTTTCTTAAAAATATAAGAAGTGCTCTTCTCAATGTGCTTAAATTTTGCCACCTTATCTGGGAGGAGACTGTACCTTTTCTCCTTCTGTCCTCACAATGTAGTGTTGGGCAGTCTCTCGTTCTTTCTTCCAGGAGTCTGTCTTCTTTGTCATCTATTTTATTCTTCTAGTGTGTTAAAGAAGCAGATCGTGGATCCGCTTATCAACTCTAGTGGGTTTTGTTCTACTTTATTAATTGCTACTTTAGCTTTGGTCCTCTATATCTGTACCTGTGTTATTACTCGTATTACTTATGGATTGGGGATACGAACTCTAGAGTCTGAAGGCCAGGGTTGAATCTTGCCTCCAACATTTGCAAACTTTAAAACTTATGTACATTACCTTGCCACCCTGCGCTTCAGTTTCCTCTCTGAAAAATGACAGTGATAACTGTACCCATTTCAAGGTGGTGTTGTCAGCATTAAATGAGGTAGGCCATGGTCAGACTGCGCCTACCCTATCAAGAGTATTCAACAAATGTCTGCTAAGACTGTCTACTCTGCTTTCTAAAGCTTCTTGAATTGACTGTTCGATTAATTTAAGTTCCATTCCTCTTCATTAAAAATTTAAAGATTTTAAGGCTAAAAACCTTTCTTTTAAGTACAGTTTTGGCTGCATCTTATGTTTTATATTTAGTGTCATCGTTGTTCAAAGTTTCTAAGTGACCGATTACTATGGTTTCAACTCTTTCTTCAAAACATTCGAAATATCAGTTATGATCTTATTCATCCTTATCCCCTTTGGGGGTGAGATGGGGGTCTGGCCTCTTGTTTCCTAGCGTCTACCACAATTCCTGGTACATAATTAATATTCAGTAAATAAATGTTTGATGAATGAATGAACAAAAAGATGAATATCATCAGTCATAGAAAAAGAAGAAAACATAACCAGCTTCATGGTAGATGTAGCTCCTGGCTGGTCCTTCCACATTCCACCACCAGGGACACTTGTCAATCAACCACGGACCAGGTCACTTTGGGTAGCCTTCCAATTAGGCACAGAAATAAATAATCTATCCCCACTAAGGAGGAATCAATATGCCAAGTGCCCTGGCTATGCCCCAGCATGCTCCAGAGAGACACTGAGCACAGACTTTGGAAAGCTGATGACCTTCTGGTGCAGGTAATTCCTTTACACCGCATGTTTCCGAAGAGTTGTGCAAATCAAATTTCCCATTAACTAAAACACTTTAAAGAAAATAGTAGGGCTGGCTATTTAAAGAAACAAACTAAATCATTTTGTGATACAAATAAACACCCCCTCATTTCTATTTGGCAAATTCAGGGTAAAACCAGCTTTTCTTAAAGATGAGGCAACATTTACTGAGCTGCTGAAAAATGAAGTAGGTCCCACTTTCAAACAGGTACCCGGTAAGCGCCAAGAATTCCTAGATGCTTCATGGTTTATTCAATAAGCCCTTGCTCAGCCAAGGTTGAAAGCCTGCAGCCTACAGCCCTCCGAGCCCTGTGTCTAGCTGTGCTTTATTAGGACTACACAACAGAGTCTCAAACTCAAATGCCTACGGGCCAGGTGAGTAATGAAAATGTCAGAAGGCCAGCAAGGGGAATGCACGCATGGCCTGTTTAAAAGGGGAAATTGCTACTCAGCTCCAGCAGAGAACGAGAAGGAGGTCCCAGGCTCTATCCACCTCACCCTCCCTTGTGACATGCAAGGACATGAAGGTCACCTGCCAGCTGTGTAGGCAGAAGAATGCCCCCAACCACCACCACCACCACCACCACCAAAGATGTCCAAGCCCTAATCCCTGGAACCTAAGAATATGTTGCTTTACAAGGCAGATGGGATTAAGTTAAGGATCTTGAGATGGGGGATTATGCTAATTTATCTGGACAGGCCCAACATAATCACAAGCGTCCTTATGAGAGGGAGGCAGGAGAGGCAGAGTCAGAGGATGAGATAGATGTGAGGATGGAAGCAGTGGTTGGAGTCACGCCATTTCTGGAAAGGAACGCAAGCCAAGGAATGTGGGTGGCCTCTAGAAGCTAGAAAAGGCAAGAAACAGATTGTCCTCTAGGGCCGTCAGAAGGCAGGCAGCCCTGTGGACATCTTGATTTTAGCCCTGGAAGACCCATTTTCAGAGTTTTGATCTCTAGACCCGTAAGATAAATTTGTGCCGTTTTAGGCCACTAAGTGTGTTACAGCAGCAATAAGAAAACAACATACCAGCCAAGGATCGGGAACAACGTGGTTAAATCCCAGGAGTAGACTACAGTGAAAATCCCAGGGGATACTTCCAGGGGACCTCTCTGAAGTTTCTGCCCTAGGAAAGCATTGAGATCTCAACTCCTCTTCATAGAGCACCTCACCCCCAAGCTCCCAACTCTAACCACTAAAATGTATTCTTCACATGCCAAAGAGGGCTAAATTAAGTCATCAAAAAAAAAGTGTTTTTCTCTTTGGAGTTGATCCTCTTCTTTTACCCAATTCTCACTGGGGTCTATAAGTGGAAAACTGACATTCTTGGGAAGCAATCCTTGTCCTTAAAATCCATATCAATCTGGGATAGAAACTCTAGCATAGTTGCAGATATCTATGGCAGGAAAAGAGAGAGAAGACCCTTCAGCACTTGCCTAGGCTCTCGTCTCCCTCAAGAGGCCCCAAATTAGCCAGTCTTCAAATCCCATCGTCTGCAGGAGTTACAGGCTAAGTCTCTGGAATCGGTGGGCTTGGTTTGAACCCTCATTTTGACCACCTAGAAGCTGAAGGACATTAGCTTAATTACTATACCTCTCTGAGCCTTCTTTCATAGTAGTACCTGCTCTCATAAGGTTTTTGTGAAGCTCGAATAAGATGACACATGCAAAGTGCTTGGTGGAAGGCATGTGAGCTGGAGCCACCAGTATGCAGGTGCTGCTCTGCAGTTGGCTGGGGAGGAGCACTCTTGCCTCGTAGGTCAAAGATGACCCACATGCTTAACTGCATTAAACTCTGCCTAGTCCCCCAAATGCTTTCCTGAACCGTCTCCAAGATCAAAGACAGAAAGGTCCAGTCACCATCTCCACCCAACACCTGGCCTTGCTAGCACTAAGGAGAGTGACTTGCATGGCCATGCTACTTGAGTTTGCAA